TGATTGATAATACGCAATATGAAACTCACACAGTTGTAAGTGTTGATAAGGTTGCGCCCAGGAGAGTAGAGTGCGTTCTAATCAACCAGTTTACAGTTGAGCAGTGTCGATCGACCCAGTGAGTAGAGTAACCTGTCTATTTCAAATAAAAACTAAAGAGATTTATATTCAACTAGAAAAATTTAATGCTACTTGGGAGGGTAAAAATAACTAAATAAGACGCAGCACTGAGTTCATTTTGTTTAAAGTGTATGCAGAGCTATTAATACGAAAGCAGAGTGCGAGTGAGTTCACGAGTGCAGAAGAGTCAGTGCAACTGAGAGCATCATCAAGAAGTTGAACAAACTCATGTAACCCACTTGCCATGCGTATTTTTGAAGGAAGCCTATTCCATATAAGTGCATACTTAGAGAGGAAGAAGTTTTCTCGAGTTTTGGATTTATATCAATCTAGGTAGCTGTTAAGTTGTGAATGTATAAGCAATAGGTTACTATTCGGTGTGATATTCCTAACCATTTATCGACGATCACTGTTTGGACGCAAATCAGTGCTATCCGTTTTGAAACAACACAAAACAATGATATCCATGAACTGTCTGACTGTCGGATAATCCCTGAACATACTACACGGTCGTCTTGTTTTAAATATATATATATAAATGTATAAATATACATATATATATATGTATACTTCATAAATTGATATGCCATCCCTACCTAGTACTCGTTTCCTAATAACAGTGTTGCTCACTCGGGTGTCCCACGATATACGAGCAATGCTTCGAAGACACGTATGATCGAAAACCAATAATTGACGAATATCTTCTACACTCACTGGGCATGTTTCACTGCCATAAAGTAAGACGGAGCGAACTACTGCGCAGTACACTCGTCCTTTAGTCAGCAAACGGATATCTCGCCTACGCCATAAGTGACGCAGGTTGGCAAAAGCCAATCGAGCCTTCTCTATCCGAGCTGAGATTTCGTCAGTCACCAGGCCATCAGCACTGATGAGACTCCCAAGATAAGTGAAGCGGTATACACCTTCGACTATTTCACTCCCTATCACTAGTTCAGGTGCCGATGAAAACCAATCTTGAAGCAACATTTTGCATTTCGACGGGGAAAACCGCATCCCGAACATGCTTGCATTGTTGCTTAGGGTAGTCAGAAGACTCTGCATTTTGTCAGCGTCTTCACCAAGTAGGACTATGTCATCGGTGTATTCTAAGTCGACAAGCAAGCCTCCTGGTAAAAGTTCTACTGAAAATTCAGACGAGGATAAGGTTATTTCTAGGATCATGTCTATGATAAAATTAAACAAGAATAGAGAAAGTGGACATCCCTGACGGACACCACTTGATGTAGAGAATTCCGGTGACAGTTCGCCATAAGCTCTTACTCGACCAGTAGTGTTCGAGTAGAGAGCTTGTATAAGGTTAATGTACTTCTTTGGTACACCTTTCAATGACAGACACTGCCACAGAACCTCACGATCTACAGAGTCAAATGCCGCTTTTAGGTCCAGGAAAATAACTATTGTAGGACGCCTAAATGTGTCCGTGTCCCAGGACGTGTCGTAGTGTGAATATGTGGTCTATACAACCACATCCAGGTCTGAAACCAGACTGGTTTTCTCTAGTCTGCTCTTCACGAGCTCTAGTCGGCGTCTAGGGATAAATGAGGCTAGACTTATTCCCCTGTGATTTTCACAAGAAGACTTGTGTCCTTTCTTATAGATTGGGACAATCAGTGATTGAGACCACTCGAATGGGATTACGTCCAGTTCCCAGATTCTACCTAAGATCTCTGTCAACCTAGCTGCTAAAACTGGACCACCATCCTTACAAATCTCAGGGGTCAGTCTATCAGGACCTGCAGGTCTCCCTCGCTTCAGATTTCCTAACGCTTTCTCAACTTCATAAAGGATTGGGGAACTTACGTCGATCCGCCATTCAGGATGACTGGAGATCGTGGGTAACCGAAGAGTGGCTCGTGGCCAGTTGAACTGATCCCTAAAGTGTTCTGCACATCGATCCAGTCTCCTGGATTGAGAATAAATAATAGTCCCGTCATTTTCTGAGATAGTCTCACTTACACTAGGGTTCCTAATACCAGTTTCCTTGATAAGTCGGAAAAGTTGTCTACTGTTGCCTATCGCCGCTGCCTTTTCCATCGCTTTTGCTTCCGCCACCCACCACTGTTCACGTTCGTTGCGCAGGCTTTTTATCAGCCTTCGCCTAAGTTGACTTCGTTCTTCATCATGTTCAGAGCCAGGTGGGATGAGTTTTCGGGCATCCATCAGATCGGTGGGTGCTACGGAGATCCACGGCTTCATTCTTGCCTTATGGATTACCTTACTAGCAGATATCACTGCTGTTTCCACAGCCTTCTTGATATCATTCCAACCTGCCTCCGGATGGGAATCGCTTAGATGGTCGCCTAACTGTCTTTCTAGTTGTTCTTGAAATATATTCTTCGCCGTATTATCATTAAGTAAAACCCTGAGAGGCTTTCTTACGGTGTCTTTCCTACGCCCAGTAAGCTTCAAACAAATAAGCGCTCTCACTAGGGCATGATCTGAATCTAAACATGTGCCCCAGAACGAGCGACAGTCTTCTACCGAACCCCTCCATCAGTGGCTGATGGCGATGTGATTTAGCTGGGTCCAGCGTTGAGACGACTTCGGGGGTCGCCGGGTCAACTGATGCTTTTCCTTATGCCTAAAGTTAGTGTTTGCTAAGAATAGGCGGTTGTCTGAGCATACTTGCAACAGACGGTCACCATTGTCTGTTCTCTGAGCTGCAACACCATAACATCCACCTAGGTGTCTTTCATTTTCACTTAGTCTACCTACTTGAGCATTAAAGTCACCAGCCATTACAACTATATCAGAGTGCTTAACGTTTTGGAGGAGGTCCGAAAGCTTTCTGTAAAACCCATCTTTTGCATCGTCTGGACTGCTGTAATTGGGGACGTAGGCTGATATGACGAAGAGGCAACGATGTGAGTCCCTATCTCTCGGAGCCCTCACTGTCCCGTTTAGTCGGACGGCGCACAAACGACTATCAACTGGGATCCAGTCTAGGAGGGATAGTTCTGCCATACGACTCTATGCTATACCTACACTAGCGCGATCCCTGGAAGCTGCACCTTACGGCTGTCACAGCCCTCTGAAGTCAGTAGTACGACTTCGCCCTCAGACCTTGAGTAGCTGCTTTTAGTCTCATCGTTCTCCAGTCGACCTGCCTGGCACGGTAAATCCTTCAGGAACATATGTTCCAGCCAATATAGCTCGGTTGGGTCATGACGATGGGCAAGCCGTACCACCACGTCAAGGTAGCAGCTACGGTCGGGTCGACCAGTAAGTTTCACTATCATAGCAAGTCTGACAATACGGCAGTCTCATGAGCGGGATTGTGTAAACTCACGATAAGGTCAACTTACCTTTTATCATAAGTCGCGATAGGTTTATTGTTTGCCGCCTAGAGACTGTAATTGTAGACAATCGCTAGTGTTTTCTGGAAGGACGATAACCTTTGCGTCACTATTAACGAGATAGCGAACCGTCTCCACTACAGATCAAGTCGACAGCCACGGTTGCCGTTACTTTGCGCCGGTGGGGTTTCCGAGAATGTTTAAGGTGAAAGATTTTGGGTTGGAGAAACCATGGGGTTTCCAGCACATTCCGAAAGATTTGCCATCAGTCTTCTAGTGGCGGCGTTAATTCGGCTTATCTAATTCTTGCGATCTAGAAACAGATCTTTTTCGTGATGGGCTTCTTCGAATAATTTTTGATTGTCGACGATCATGCCAAGGATCTAAAAGGCGGGTGATTGTATCGTACAGTTCTGTGATTGCATTTCGTGTATTTTGTTCAACTGAGCAAACAACTAGCACTTGTGGGAACACACCGAATAGAAAGAGTTGTCGGAAAAGGCCTTCGTTGAAAGTCCGTCGGCCAGTGACCACCCTTGTGTGTCGCAACATTTATATCACCAAATCATGTTGATGTATGATGTCGTGGAGTAGTTGGTCTAATCTCTGTCGTTTGGTTATGCCTTCAAGCCCAGCTTTTTTCAGTATAGCTGGGCTCGAGAACATCACAAGCACTTATACTAGACATAGTGTAAGTATTGCCTTATCTGAAGTAAGAATCGCTCATGTGGTCCTGTCACTCCACGCTTCCGGACGTCGGATCCCGAGTAGCAGAACCACTGTTGTAAGGCCAGAATGTCATGGGTCGAAAGTTCGGGGACGCAAGAGTCTTAATCGCAAACAGCTTAAGTGTACATTCCAGCATTATGAGAATAGAATACTTACTAACATAAGAGGAAATGTAGTGTAAAAGAGCGATGCTATCTCGATATGCAAAAATGTACATAACGTTGTAACAGTGAAAAGACTCACAGCATTTCGTTGATAGTCCCATATCACGTCGTACTTACCGATGATGTCACGGATATTCAGAGCTTGATAACAACTTGTCCTTAACACCTTTCAGATAGACAGTACCCAAAACCAAGTCAAACCAGTGGTCGAGAATCAAGAAGATTGAAGGCATTTTAGGAGGATGGTTAAGATATTGTAGAGTGATTGTACTACGTTTGCTGGTTGATGTGATGAGATGCCCAGCTCGGAGTATGCAATGCTGAACTGGTGCAGATACGTGACCAAGTAGCTTCATCTTGAATATATCATGTAGAAGTAGTGAATTCGGCATCAATTTCGAAGACTTACAAGCTATTTATGTCAGGGACATATTAACCATTACAACGGTGAATTACACATGAAATTTATTATTTTTTCTCCATAAGTTTTCAGAGTGAAAGCTATATTACTTGACGAAATATTAATACTGTAACTGAGAAATACACTTTCAGCAGGTCTAAAATTGACGAAATCACTTCATGAATCTAACAAAGGTCTTTGTTTACACATGCTACATTTTAGTGCACACATTGATTGAGATCTGCAGCGCTAATATCAATCAAGTTGCGAATGGCTATTTCCGCCACTCGTGGGAAACTAATTGCAGTAATAGGAGATGAAGATACATGTACCGGGTTTCTACTTAGTGGTACTGGCGAGGTTGACAAAAATCGAAAACCTAATTTTTTCGTCGTTGATAAAAATACATCATTAATTGATGTTGAAGATGTGTTTCGATCTTTTGTAGGTCGCGATGATATTGCTATTATTCTAATTGTACAAAATGTTGCCGAGATGATTCGTCATCTTATAGACTCACACAACGTCGCCATACCGGCAATATTGGAAATACCTAACCGTGATATTCCTTATGACGCTAGCAAAGACACTATTTTGAAGAGAGCGAAAGGTTTATTTAGTGCTGAGGATTTCCGTTGACGGATATAACATCTACTTAATCGTGATTAATCGTGCATAATATGTTACTTTTTGATTTGCCTAATATATATCTTCATTAGCACACTTTGTTCTGAATGCTTGTTTATAAGGATACTCCAATATATATATAATTTTTTTTAGAAATGTCTAATTGCGAACCAGTATCTTCTAAACTTGACCAGAATGCAGAGGAGTTCGTACCAATTGCTGAAATACAGCAGAAAACCCTGTCAAACATAAAGAATATAGTTGAGGATGTTTTCAACCTACCGACAGGACAGGTCCAAGCTCACATAAAAAGAGTAAGTAATCTAGTTGTACTATTAATCACTTATCTGATTACTCACAAAGACCATAGTAATCTGTATCAACGTTGAGTTTCGTTTCACTAAGACTCAACTGTTTTTTCTTATTCGTGGATAGTTTACTGACGATGCGTGCTACACAAATTTGATTCGGCTAATAAATTATGACAACACCTTAAACACAAGCAGGTTTGCGATATCAAATGCTACCTCAAAGTCACCACAGTTTACTTACAGTTTAAAGGTCAAAATATAGCGTTATTAGGAACAGCGAAACATCTCGTAACAGCGTATATGTGATCATGCTTACCTTCTGTAGATTACATGTGGGGTAACAAAAATTAACTCTGTAGGTAACGACCGGAAGTTGGACACGACATGTTAGTAGACGTTGTGGTCCATCTTCACCATATATTTGATCATTCTTCTTTTTACTATCCATTCATTGAAACCTTTTTTACCTTACTCATTACGAAATGAAACAACGCATGAATGTTTGTTTCTGCGTTGATTTTAGTCATTTCTTTTGAGATAAACTAAGTTCCAATTTCTTACGTTCTGTCAGACACCTCTACGTAAATGCCGAGAGTCAGATGTAACCGTCAGATTAGGATATTGCTAGTTTTAGTGACTGTAAGTGTTGCTGTTGCAATGTGCAAGGGGATAAAATCTAGGAAGTCCTTAGCTTGACAGGTTTCTGATTCATATCTTATCATGAGGTGTGTGTACACTTTATTATTATCTATCAGTAAATCTAATTCATCTATGGTTATCATTTGGATCCTAACAAATGTTGTTCATAGTCTGCGCTTATATGGATTTGCAACGAATGTAAGCTAGTTAGTAAGATTAGTGACATCCTGATTGGCAGTAATTTAGATATAGGTTTCAAAATGTCTGAGACTTACTTATCAAAACACGTTTTGATATTCACCATTTAGCTAGTATTCATGATATGATGTAAGCAGATACAGTGATATTGCATGTGACTTTTGTGTATTGGATCATGTTATCTTATTTCAAATCAGCGCAGTGCGTATAGATCAAGACAGTTTATCGTTATTTAAATGCGCAATTGTCGGTAAAAAGGGACCAAGAGGTCTAATTCGCAAGGTGGAAGTAAAGGAAAATTGAAAGCTGCAGTTTCATGGTAGTCAGCCACCAAAAATATTTTCATTCAGGATCTTGGAGCTCATACAGTCCATTGGTTTTGGATCGGGACTTCTCAACTCCCGTAAGTGGATGCTCTTTATCCACCAGGCCGGTTTAGGCACTGAACATTCACTGTCCGTCCTCTAAATTTCTCAAACGACACAGCTATGATAAGTCAATTATTAAAAATTCGTTAACAACGTTTATAGACGAGTAGCCATGTTAGAACGTTCCGAGAGAAAAGCAGACCTTCCTCACTCTGTCGTACCGGGGCATTTGAGGTAAAACAGTAAGATTCTCAGTACTAATGATAATGCGTTGACACAAATACAATTAGGATATCTGGTCAGTAACCATCATTTAGGCGCCACCTCGCATAGATCAACCCTAGATCAGTCCTCTGCTGTTCACCAGCGACTTCGTAAATTGACTTTATATATTGTCAAGGCTCTTCAATCATTTTCTAGTTTTTGTGTCAATCAGCAGTGCATACTGGACTATGTGGTTCCCTCTCACGACTCATCTTCATGTTGTATAGTCCAGAGTAGAACAAAATAATGCGTAAGAAGTCATAAAACTCATAATAAATTCAAGTGGTGTTGCAAACCGATCTTGGTGGTTTTCATATTCAGAGTTCATATTCATTTACACTTCTCGAGCATCCGACCACTTATGACTGATTAGTAATTTACTTATCCGGTTCTTTGCTACTAACATACCGTAACTTAGTTTTGTCTCTCCTTGTTGTGGGCACTTCAATCGTTATATTGTTCTACTACGCGTAGAAAATTTTATTTGCTTGTGTTCAAGGGTTTTAGTAAATGATATAATATCTTCAAACAAATAGCATTTGTAGGCTGATCATTTTGATAAGGCATATAAGAGAATACGTACTTTACCTTGGCATAACCTTTTTCAAAAATATATAACAGGACATAATTGCCTATGTGATAAGTTTGCAATTCAAGCTTGGAAGCTAATTTAACAGGTAAATACTTATGTACTTGAGTTCAAGCCATCAGAGAACTAGTTTATGGTTTGGTGACCCCCAAATGCTATGGCACGGCCGAGAGTGAGGAAAGTCCACTCCCCTTCTCGAAATGCTATCACATAGCCACGAGTCTTGTGTGACAAATATTTAGATGCCCCTTTTTATCAATAATTATGCATTTAAATAAAACCCCGTCTTGGCAGTTGAACCGAATAAAACAACGACACAAAAGCATATGATCTAATCTGAATACTTTCGAGTAGATAGAAGTTATCCAGTAGTCAGTTAGACAGTTACAACGTAGAACTTCGTACGTACATACATCAGTTCAAGTTGCCATACCATATTGGCACAGAGACACAATTGTCGATTCAAACTTCATAGTAGTAGCGATAGTAGAAGTATTAGCAGTAATGGAGAAGATTAGGGTTAAAAGATATGACACGGGAAGTATAATTCAGGGCGATAAAGTTACAATGAGAAAGATAGAGATGATGAGGGAGTCAGAAGGTTAGAATTTGATAGAACATGAAGAGTGGATGCACCTACGCCATTGCCAACGATTTTGAGCCATGTCGTTCAGGGTCTCTAACCATCGGTTATTTTCATCCCGCGGACCCTAACCAGGTAGCCTAAATCTATCAACTTGACTCAGTCCACTTGTCAGTAACTTCACGGATTCGTGCCATGCTTCGGTTTGGCCGCCTCTAGCTTTCTTTCAACCTATTACTACACAAAACATAGCTCGTCGAGGCATTCGTAACAAATGTACCAACCACCTCAATTGGCGAAGTTTCAATACTTCGGAAATTGATCTGCCATCCTTACCTAGTACCCGTTTCTTTACTCGATAGTCCCAGGATATACGAGAAATGCTTCTGAGACACCTATGACGGGAAACCAGTAACTTACGAATAACTTCTACTATGACCGGCACTATTTCACAACCAGAGAATAAGACGACGCGAAGTGGTGCGCAGTACACTCGTCCGTTGGTTAGCATACAGATATCTCGCATACGCCATATGTGAAGCAAGTTGGAAAAAGCCGATCGAGCATTCTGTATTCGTGCTGAGATTTTGTCAGTCACCAGGCTATCAGCACTGATGAAACTCCCGAATAAGTGACGTGGTCAACACACTCAACTGCTCCACTCCCTGCCACTAGTTAGGATGTCGAGTCAAGCTAATCCTAAAGCAAATTTGCGTTTCGAGGATGAGGACCGAATCCCTAACACTCTTGAATTGCTGCTCAAAGTGTTCATAAGACTGCATTTCGTCAGCATCTTCACCAAGTAGAATTATGACATTGGCAAAGTCAACAAACGAATCTCCAGGCAAAAGTCCAACTCCTGAAAAGTCATATGATGAAAGCGTCGTATCTATAAGCATATTAATTGATAAACTTAAACGAGAATGGAGAAAGTGGACAGCCCTGATGGACACAACCTGAAGTATTCGATCCCGACGACAGTCCACCATAAGCCGATGATCGACAGAGTCAAATGCCGCCTTAGGTCCAAAAGACAACTATTTTTGGACGCCGAAGTGTGTTTTTTTGTTCTAGGACCTGTTGAAGTGGGAATATGTGATCTGAAACCAGCCCGGTTTTCTCGAATCTACTCTTCACGAGCCCCAGTTAGGTGTCTCAGTATTATCGAGGTTAACATTTAGACACTATATTAGTTGGACCGATTTCTCTGATTGTCATAACAGGACTTTTGTCCGTTTTATAATTTGGGAGAATCAGGGATCGAGACCAGTCAGATGGGATTACGCGCAGTTCCCGAGTTCTAACTACAATCTCAGTCAATCTAACTGCTAAGATTGGACCACCTTGTATAAAAGCCTCAGGAGTTAGCCTATCACGACCCGCCGCTCTCCCTCGCCTTAGATTTGCTTCAGTCTTTTGAACTCCATAAAGGGTCGTAGAACTTACTTTGATTTACCATTTAGGTTGACTGGAGATCGTGAGTAGTTGAACTGATCCCTAAAATGCTCTGCCCATGGATCCAATCTCCTGGATTGAGAATGAATAGCACACACATCATTTTCCAAAATAGTCTCACCTATAGTAGGATTCCTAATACCAGTTCTCTGGATAAGTCTGAACAGTTGTCTACTGTTGCCTATCGCTGCTGCCTTTTCCATCGCTCTTGTTTTCTCTACTCGCCACTGTTCGCGATCATTGCATAGGCGTTTTATCAGCCTGCGCTTAAGCTTGCTACGCTCTTCGTCATGTTCAGAGCCAGGCGGGACGAGTTTCCAGGTATTTATCAGTTTGGTAGATGATAATGGAATCCACTGTTTCTTCCTAACCTTATGGTTTACCTTACTAGCAGATATGATTGCTGTTTCCACAGTTTTTCGGACGATGAATAGGCAATGGCGAGTCACCCTGTCTTTCCGAGTCCTTACTGTCCCGTTTAGTCGGACAGCGTACAAACGACTGTATGATGGGACCCAGTCTAAGAGAGCTACTTCTGCCCTAGGACTCAATGCTATACCTACACCAGCGAGGCCACAGGAAGCAGCAGCAGACCTCGCAGATACACGAAGCATAAACCGAATTGGCTACTTATCTGGACAAGGTGAAGTCAAATGAATGATTCTACTCGGATTCTGTATGTGCGTTTCGGAGATGCAGCATACATCGATGGCACGAGATTCTAAAGTCCTAGCCAACGAAGCCTATTTCCCTATTTGGCATAAGGTTCGAACATTAAAAGCTCCAAGAGAGTAGGTATAACGTTTCGCAAACTCGAATGGTTTGCATCGGCGGTGCCAAATGATGAAAGAAGGTCTGGTCATGGAAGTAAGAGGTATAGAAAGGATTTGACTGCGACTAGCTTGGTCTCGTGTGTTTTTACTTCCCGTATGGCCACACCGTGTAAGTGTGTTTCTCGAGGAACCTGAAAAAGAAGGTATATTAGCGTTGGTCTTAGAGACCTAGGATCGTGACTTCAGAGCCCAAGGGTTAACTGCTTGAGGCTGGTCACACAGCCTTTTTATGGAAAGACTGTAGTGTTAGCTCCGCTCTTCGAATGACCTTACCCACGGAGACGGAAATCTGTGGGGTAGGGTCGTGTAACATTTTTAGGGTCGATCTTTTCTAACCCTCCTTCCTTGTGAGAGGGGACCACCGCTGTAGATTCTGGTTGTCGGAGGGGAGCAGCTAACTTCCGTCACCCTCTCTACAGTTAGCAGTACGACTTCGCCCTCAGACTTCGAGTTGCTGCTTTCAGTCTCTCCGTTCTCTAATCGACCTGCCTGGCATGGTAGAACCTACAGGAACATATGCTCCAGCCTATATAGCTCGGTTGGGTCATCAGGATAAGCGAGACCGACCACTACGTCAATGTACCAGCTACGCTTCGGAGTTATTCAGTAGATTAAATTTTTGTACTTTTTAGCCTAGCAATTTTGCAATCTAATTGAAATTTTTCAAAGGAACACTAAAATATTTTGTTATTATTTCGCTAAATTTAGATTAAAGCTATCGCCGATCTGGATTCAGCATCTGCGTCTCGTCTTGTTGGAGAATCGCTTGCTCAGTCAACTACAAAGAACATTAAACGAGTCAGTCTGGGATTTCGATGTCTTAAAGATGTGCGAGCCTATTTACCTGATACAAAGGGAAACGATTTAGAAGCTGCTGTCTTGCAAAGTGTTAAATTGATGACGCAGGAAGTTCTATCCGGAAACACTTTAAAGTTGTTAATGTCTAACACACAAAATGTATTATATGACCCAAGTACGTCTCATACAATGAGTACAGAGCTCAATGATATTCAGAAAGAACCAGTGGATCCTTCAGTTGATCATCTTTTTGGTCTGGTTGTATTCCTCAGATATCTGATTACTAGTCTCAACGCTTCTGACGATTGTGAATCCTATGTATGTATCCCACCCATTGAACCCTGTGTAGACTTTTGTTTACTTGTGGATGCTGTCTGTGAACTACAACTTCACTCTAACAAGGTGAGAAACTCTGAAGTGAATGAAACCGATCTATCTTCGCTGGAAATATCGTGCGCCGAAACTAGTTGGAATAGCTTGATGTATCAGCTATTTGATGGTTTCTCCCAAGGACTTATGTATTTTAATTCTGCCTTAGTTAGCGTTAATGTAAGAGTCCTTGATGGTTCATGGCAACGTGCATGTAGTTTAGATGATCGAGTAAACGACTCTTATAAACCGTCTGCAAACTACACTTCTGCATCGTATCTTTCCATGTTAATAAATAAGTGCCTAACTGGGATGCGCGCATTAATAGTTGAAGAACAATTACCAACAAAGATACTCCGTTCAACCGTTTTAGATCTACTAATGTACGCTTCCGAAATGGCTGCTCTTCAAAATACCTCTTGTCAAAACTGGACTGAGTCAAATCAGATGTATGAAGAAAGCGGTTCCAAACTTGATCTTTCGAATGAATCGTTGGAAGAATTAGATGAAGAACAAGCAGCCGACTTTGAGGATTTCCTGATCGAATCTGGACAGCTGCCATCAAAAAGTAGTAAAATATCATAAGCCTTTCTGATGTCAGTAATGTGTATATTGTCTTTCCAAATGTACAAATAATGTGTCCAGTCTTTGTTAAAAATAACTTTTAGCTCCCTTAATATAACTTGTCTTCTTGATTGTCTTGTATGTTTGTTTCGAAGCATTTATCTTGCTACCTCTCAGTCTAAATTGTATTACCTACAACTGTACTCCTGTCAGCATACTCCTTTTTAATTTGATGTTATATTTTGAAAATAAATCCTTATAAAAATTCGATCAACATGCTACTGCGCTAATAAGTGGACCTCACATTCAGCATCAAAATGAAAGGTTATCATAATAATTGTTGCTAATCAGTGGGAATGTCGTCAGTAGTTATGTGAAGCTAAGTTGACTAGGTATTTGCTTACATACTGTTAGATTTGATTTAAAAATGATAGTTGAAAGCCTTAGTTTGATATCTTTTTGATTTGAAAGATCCTATTTTCAGATCAAGTCAAGCGCTTCGACACCTGTAGTTGTATGAAAGCTAGTATATTGTAAATGTAACACTTCAGTGAAGAATTATTTATGACGAAAAACGTAATCTAACTGATTTTAATCACAAAGTTAGACAATGAGATGTTACTTAGACAGTTAACCGTTTCCGCTTAGATTGCATTATCGGGTTTGTACGTCTTTGAATTTCGTTTAAAAAGTCAGTGGTTAGTTCAAGAGTAACTGGTAGTACTTTGCTTCCTAGCAGTAGACACGCCTTCGCGATATGTCAATATTCCTGTTCCAGAGACACTTGTCAGCAGTTCGCCATGATGGCAGTGTTTAGAATAAATTTCAGTAGATTGCTTGACCAATTATTCGAAATATTATCCCCACGTTTCTTGATGCACGAAAATGGTTTTCCGTACAGACAACTACCAGGTAAAAAGTTCTGGATTGCTAACTAGAATTGTGAATCATGAATATGGTAGAAAAGTAAGGACTGTTTAACTAAATTTCTAAACTGGTTTGTTTACGGATTTCATACGTGAAGCTACTCTTCTTTCAGTATAGCTGAGTTAATATGTCAAACAAACTTAATAAAAGCCTGAACATTTTTGTCAGCCTAGGGACTCATCATCAAGTACATGACTGTATCTACTAGACTATCCACAGACTGATCATTGCAAAGCTTGTCTATCGTGATGGCCCACCCAAGCTATATAGGCTGGAACATATGTTCCTGTAGGTTCTACCATGCCAGACAGGTCGATTAGAGAACGGAGAGACTGAAAGCAGCAACTCGAAGTCGTACTGCTAATGGTAGAGAGGGTCAGTCAGTCAGATGCAACGTAGAACTTCGTATGTTCCTGTAGGTTCTACCATGCCAGACAGGTCGATTAGAGAACGGAGAGACTGAAAGCAGCAACTCGAAGTCGTACTGCTAATGGTAGAGAGGGTCAGTCAGTCAGATGCAACGTAGAACTTCGTACGTAAGTACATCAGTTCATGTCGCCATACCACATCAGCACAGAGATATAATTGTCAATTCAAATCCAATAGAAGAAGAGGTAGTAAGGGAATTAGAAGTAATCAGAGAGGTTAGAATTAGAAGATATTATTCAAGAAGTATGATTCAGTAGGAAAAAATTACAAAGTTGAAGAATCCAAAAGATTCGGATTTGAGAGAACACAAAGAATAAATGCACCGGCGCCATTGCGAACGATTTTGAGCCATGTCATTCAAGGTCTCTAACTATCGATTATTACCATCTCGCGGACCCCAACCAGGTAGTCGACAATTACCGACATGGCTAAGTCCATTCGTCAATGATTTCATGGATTTCTGCCACGTTTTGGTTTGGCCGCCCCTAGCTTTCTTCCAACCTACTCCTACACCACAAAACAAAGCTCTTCGAGGCAGTCGGTGGTTAGGCATACGCAGCACATGTCCCATCCATCTCAACTGATGAAGTTTCATTACTTCGTCTATTGATCTGCCATTCTTACCTAGCACCCGATTCCTAATAACAGCGTTGCTCACTCGGGTGTCCCACGATATACGAGCAATGCTTCGAAGACACGTATGATCGAAAACCAATAATTGACGAATATCTTCTACTCTCACTGGCCATGTTTCACAGCCATAAAGTAAGACGGAGCGAACCACTGCGCAGTACACTCGTCCTTTAGTCAGCAAACGGATATCTCGCCTACGCCATAAGTGACGCAGGTTGGCAAAAGCCAATCGAGCCTTCTGTATCCGAGCTGAGATTTCGTCAGTCACCAGGCCATCAGCACTGATGAGACTCCCAAGATAAGTGAAGCGGTATACACCTTCGACTACTTCACTCCCTATCACTAGTTCAGGTGCCGATGCAACCCATTTTGCATTTCGAGGGGGAAAACCGCATCCCGAACATGCTTGCATTGTTGCTTAGGGTAGTCAGAAGACTCTGCATTTTGTCAGCGTCTTCACCACCGAATAGGACTATGTCATCGGCATATTCTAGATCAGTAAGCGAATTTCCTGGTAGAAGGTCAACCCCTGAAAGATCTGACGAGCTTAATGTTAACTCTAAGAGGATGTCTACGACAAAGTTAAACAAGAATGGAGAGAGTGGACATCCACGACGGACACCACTTGATGTAGAGAATTCAGATGACAGTTCGCCATAAGCTCTCACTCGACCTGTAGTGTTCGAGTAGAGAGCTTGTATGAGGTTAATGTACTTCTTTGGTACACCTTTCAATGACAGACACTGCCACAGAACCTCACGATCCACTGAGTCAAATGCCGCCTTAAGGTCCAGGAAAACAACTATTGTAGGACGCCTAAATGTGTGTCCGTGTCCCAGGACGTGTCGTAGTGTGAATATGTGGTCTATACAGACACGTCCAGGTCTGAAACCAGACTGGTTTTCTCTAGTCTGCTCTTCACGAGCTCTAGTCGGCGTCTAGGGATAAATGAGGCTAGACTTATTCCTCTGTGATTTTCACAAGAAGACTTGTGTCCTTTCTTATAGATTGGGACAATCAGTGATTGAGACCACTCGAATGGGATTGCGTCCAGTTCCCAGATTCTACCTAAGATCTCTGTCAACCTAGCTGCTAAAACTGGACCATCATCCTTACAAATCTCAGGGGTCAGTCTATCAGGACCTGCAGCTCGTCCTCGCTTCAGATTTCCTAACGCTTTCTCAACTTCATAAAGGATCGGGGAACTTACGTCGATCCGCCATTCAGGATGACTGGAGATCGTGGGTAACCGAAGAGTGGCTCGAGGCCAGTTGAACTGATCCCTAAAGTGTTCTGCCCATCGATCCAGTCTCCTGGATTGAGAATAAATAATAGTCCCGTCATTTTCTGAGATAGTCTCACTTACACTAGGATTGCTAATACCAGTTTGATTGATAAGTCGGAAAAGTTGTCTACTGTTGCCTATCGCCGCTGCCTTTTCCATCGCTTTTGCTTCCGCCACCCACCACTGTTCACGTTCGTTGCGCAGGCTTTTTATCAGCCTTCGCCTAAGTTGACTTCGTTCTTCATCAGAGCCAGGTAGGATGAGTTTTCGGGCATCCATCAGTTCGGTGGGTGCTACGGAGATCCACGGCTTCATTCTTGCCTTATGGATTACCTTACTAGCAGATATCACTGCTGTTTCCACAGCCTTCTTGATATCATTCCAACCTCCCTCCGGATGGGAATCGCTTAGATGGTCGCCTAACTGTCTTTCTAGTTGTTCTTGAAATATATTCTTCGCCGTATTATGATTAAGTAAAACCCTGAGAGGCTTTCTTACGGTGTCTTTCCTACGCCCAGTAAGCTTCAAACAAATAAGCGCTCTCACTAGGGCATGATCTGAATCTAAACATGTGCCCCACAACGAGCGACAGTCTTCTACCGAACCCCTCCATCGGTGGCTGATGGCAATGTGATCTAGTTGGGTCCAACGTTGAGACGACCTTGGAGGTCGCCAGGTAAACAGATGCTTTTCCTTATGCCTAAAGTTAGTGTTTGCTAAGAATAGGCGGTTGTCTGAGCATACTTGCAACAGACGGTCACCATTGTCTGTTCTCTGAGCTGCAACACCATAACATCCACCTAGGTGTCTTTCATTTTCACTTAGTCTACCTACTTGAGCATTAAAGTCACCAGCCATTAATACTATATCAGAGGAGGTCCGAAAGCTTTCTGTAAAACTCATCCTTAACCTCGTCTGCACTGCAGTCAGTGGGGGCATAGGCAGATACGATGAAGAGGCAACGGCGATTGTCCCTATCCTTCCGAGTCCTTACTGTTCTGTTTAGTCGGACAGCGCACAAGCGACTATCTACTGGGATCCAGTCAAGGAGAGATTGTTCTGCCCTACGACTCAATGCTATGCCTAAGCCAGCAAGACCCCTGGAAGCAGCATCAGGGCTACCGGATACACGAAGAGTATATCGAGCTGCTTCTTTATTTTGACAAGGTGAAATCAGATTAAAAATTTTACCCGAATCCTGTATGCGCGTTTCCGAGACGCAGCATACATCGATGGCACGAGATTCTAAAGTCCTATCTAATGATGCCTGTTGCCCTATTTGACACAATGTCCGTACATTAAATGCTCCAACAAGTAGTATAAAACGGGGTTTCAGGAGACCAGGAATGACGTTTCGTGAGCTCGCATCGTTTGCATTAGCTAAGCAGTGTGATAAATGAATGTGAGAATAGTTAGTCGTCGAGATAAGAGAGGTACTAGGGGGTGTAGGAAGGATTTGATTTTGACCAATTTGGTCTCGTGTGCTGTTACGGGTATGAGGGCGGTTATCACTTCCCGGCTGCCCACACCGTGGAAGGTTGTTTCTTGACGAACCTGAAAAGGAAGATAGATTAGTGTTGTTTTTGGAGACCTGTGTGCGTGACCGCAGAGTCCAAGGGACAACTGCTTGAGGCCGGTCACACACGGCCTTTTTATGAAAGCTCTTTTGAGGATTAGCTCCGCTCTTAAAGTCCCTTAGTGGGCACCCTTACCCAAGGAGACGGAAATCCGTGAGTTAGGGGAGGTGTGACATTTTTAGGGCCGACCTTTTCTAACCCTTCCTTCCTTGTGAGAAGGCAGCATTGCTGCAGATGTTGGTTGTCCGGGGGAAACACCTTACTGCTGTCACACCCCTCTGCAGTCAGCAGTACGACTTCGCCCTCAGACCTTGGGTAGCTGCTTTTAGTCTCATCGTTCTCCAATCGACCTGCCTGGCATGGTAGGACCTGCAGGAACATATGTTCCAGCCAGTATAGCTCGGTTGGGTCATGACGATAGGCAAGCCCGACCACCACGTCGAGGTAGCAGCTAAGGCCGGGGTAGAGAGGGTGACGGAAGTTAGCTGCTCCCCTCCGACAACCAGAATCTGCAGCGGTGGTCTCCTCTCACAAGGAAGGAGGGTTAGAAAAGATCGACCCTAAAAATGTTACACGACCCTACCCCACAGATTTCCGTCTCCGTGGGTTAGGTCATTCGAAGAGCGGAGCTAACACTACAGTGTTTCCATAAAAAGGCTGTGTGACCAGCCTCAAGCAGTTAACCCTTGGGCTCTGAAGTCACGATCCTAGGTCTCTAAGACCAACGCCAATATACCTTCTTTTTCAGGTTCCTCGAGAAACACACTTACACGGTGTGGCCATACGGGAAGTAAAAACACACGAGACCAAGCTAGTCGCAGTCAAATCCTTTCTATACCTCTTACTTCCATGACCAGACCTTCTTTCATCATTTGGCACCGCCGATGCAAACCATTCGAGTTTGCGAAACGTTATACCTACTCTCTTGGAGCTTTTAATGTTCAAACCTTGTGCCGAATAGGGAAATAGGCTTCGTTAGCTAGGACTTTAGAATCTCGTGCCATCGATGTATGCTGCATCTCCGAAACGCACATACAGAATCCGAGTAGAATCATTCATTTGACTTCACCTTGTCCAGATAAGTAGCCAATTCGGTTTATGCTTCGTGTATCTGCGAGGTCTGCTGCTGCTTCCTGTGGCCTCGCTGGTGTAGGTATAGCATTGAGTCCTAGGGCAGAAGTAGCTCTCTTAGACTGGGTCCCATTATACAGTCGTTTGTACGCTGTCCGACTAAACGGGACAGTAAGGACTCGGAAAGACAGGGTGACTCGCCATTGCCTATTCATCATCCGATAAACTGTGGAAACAGCAATCATATCTGCTAGTAAGGTAAACCATAAGGTTAGGAAGAAACAGTGGATTTCATTATCATCTACCAAACTGATAAATACCTGGAAACTCGTCCCGCCTGGCTCTGAACATGACGAAGAGCGTAGCAAGCTTAAGCGCAGGCTGATAAAACGCCTATGCAATGATCGCGAACAGTGGCGAGTAGAGAAAACAAGAGCGATGGAAAAGGCAGCAGCGATAGGTAACAGTAGACAACTGTTCAGACTTATCCAGAGAACTGGTATTAGGAATCCTACTATAGGTGAGACTATTTTGGAAAATGATGTGTGTGCTATTCATTCTCAATCCAGGAGATTGGATCCATGGGCAGAGCATTTTAGGGATCAGTTCAACTACTCACGATCTCCAGTCAACCTAAATGGCAAATCAAAGTAAGTTCTACGACCCTTTATGGAGCTCAAAAGACTGAAGCAAATCTAAGGCGAGGGAGAGCGGCGGGTCGTGATAGGCTAACTCCTGAGGCTTTTATACAAGGTGGTCCAATCTTAGCAGTTAGATTGACTGAGATTGTAGTTAGAATTCGGGAACTGCGCGTAATCCCATCTGACTGGTCTCGATCCCTGATTCTCCCAAATTATAAAACGGACAAAAGTCCTGTTATGACAATCAGAGAAATCGGTCCAACTAATATAGTGTCTAAATGTTAACCTCGATAATACTGAGACACCTAACTGGGGCTCATGAAGAGTAGATTCGAGAAAACCGGGCTGGTTTCAGATCACATATTCCCACTTCAACAGGTCCTAGAACAAAAAAACACACTCCGGCGTCCAAAAATAGTTGTCTTTTGGACCTAAGGCGGCATTTGACTCTGTCGATCATCGGCTCATGGTGAACTGTCGTCGGGATCGAATACTTCAGGTTGTGTCCATCAGGGCTGCCCACTTTCTCCATTCTCGTTTAACTTTATCAATTAATGTGCTTATAGATACGACGCTTTCATCATATGACTTTTCAGGAGTTGGACTTTTGCCTGGAGATTCGTTTGTTGACTTTGCCAATGTCATAATTCTACTTGGTGAAGATGCTGACGAAATGCAGTCTTATGAACACTCTGAGCAGCAATTCAAGAGTGTGAGGGTTGCGGTTCTTCCAGTCAAAATACAATTGTTGTGGTGCAGGAGTAGATTGGAAAAGTGTTAAGAGCGCCTAGACAAAAACGTGGCAGAAATCCATCAAGTCACTGAAAAGTGAACTGAGACTTTTCGGTTGGGTGTAACTTACTAGGTTTGTGTCTGCGCGACAAACGTAATCGATGGTAAGAGAGCTTGAATTGTATGGCTCAAAATCGTTTGCAATGGTGCAAGTGCATCCACTTTTTATTTTCTCTCGAATCCGAATTATGATAGACTCGCGTGAATTATCGGTTCATTTCACCGAAGAAATTTAAAGTAGAGCAGAGCATAGTTAGATTTGATTTTCAAAATGTTCGGTTAATCGGTCGTCGACTGCAGAAGCGTAAGTAGTTATTCGATGGAACCAAATAATTGTTAAGTTGTTGCAAACAGTCTAGAGACAATAATATCCAAAAGTATATACACGGACAGAAGTACTGAGTGTTTTTTTATATTGTGAGCTGGAGGTGTGTTCAAACTGGTCATGTAATTCAAGTTAATATATAACAGGAATAATCGATGAATGCGGGTACTCGTGTATTCTGTATACGTAGATAGCAATATTATCATAAATATGTAATGTGGCAGCCTAAAACGAGGAGTGTGTGGGGAGCTGTTTATTTGTGAGCGATAAGTAGGTCATGCAAGCAAAGAACAAAATGACAAGTGGAAAGTCAAGATTTAATTCAAACAATTTATAGTCAATAACAGTGGTTGTACAAATTAAATGAAAGAATAAAAACTATGAATAATGACAAAAATTATCTACACAGTAAATCTGTGTCAGCCATTTCCACATTTACATTGTTACATATTTGATTTCGCTTCCCATCGTTCTTTAGCCTGAAAACTGAATACAGTTCCATTGTTACATGAGTAAATATGAATTACTAAAAAATATTGCATTTAAACATGTTCGCAAGGCGATTTGTGTTGAAATGTGGTGCCAAACAGCTAATAGGCTCTGACACTAACAATATTTATGCATAGTTTGAATTCGACAGTCATTAATCGATAATTATATCTAAGTAGAATTCTACAGTGAGACAGCAAGCACCTCATTACTACATCAAAATAATAACTAAAAAACGACCCATTAGAAAATAATTATTAGGCATTTTATTAGTTACAAGTATGACATATTCCTCAAGTGACAAATTATTGGGATATGTTATTTTGCAAAACGCTGCCAAAAGCATGAATCTTATTCGTTTCACGGCTGCTTTATTGATTAAATCCAAAATGAAACATCAATCGGCTCATCATGATTACATCTGCGAAACATAATATTTTCAATTACCAATTTAATTTCCACCTTATTTTTTCATCATGTATATCTTTTAAAATGCTCTTTTGCACAATATTAATCTTAAAAATCTTTTTAACATTTGCATTATTAATTATTCACTTAAGAGATCGAATGTTAAAAATTTAAATCAAATAAAACTATGTACGTAAATTTTTTGGTGAAATAAAGGCGACAAAACAATGTGAACTAATATGAGAAAGAGATAAATGAAATAAAGAGAAACATGTGAATATTGATTCTGCATAATAAATTGTTGATAATAAGTGTACCGTTTATCTCATATCATAAAATGACCTGGTTGAAACTATTAAAACGGGTCAAGGTTTTACATATACACACGAACAAGAGACCAAAACAAAAAGTAACAAGAATCAAAAGTGCTTAAAACAGTTTAGGTCGTTAAAACGCACAGCGGTTAACAAGTAGTTCATAGTTTGATTATTACTTTGGGTACAAGCGACCCAATAGTATTACTAGCCTTACATGAACAGTATGGTTTACAGGCTCACATATAAATCGATACTTTATGAGTGATATAAACAAGAACTATACAAAAGGGTAAGGCAAAAAAATGAACAAACAGATGTTTTATATTTTAATACGAAAAAAACTTGAACTCAGTCGCTGTTGATAACTGTTGACTGCATTTTTTATCACTCTTAGTTGGGATAGATTCGCCCTAGGGTGGATAGCCTTGATATAGCTGTTTTTCATAAGATTTTATTTAATAGATGGATTATGCTTAATACTACAATCTAGGATAAGCGTTTCCTACTACTTGTGGCTTATCACTTAAAAGTTCCAGTGGTAATATCAATGCTCCAAGGCAGACACACATTCATTAAACGAGTTCTGAACAGGAAAAAGCATGCATCCTGTATTTCATCACTAGTTGTAATCCATTTATTCTAAGAAATGTTTATAGTCTAAAAAGACATAGAAACTCGAGCATCTATCTGGCTGAACTATGACGTTTAAAGTATCAACAATTAATGCCTTATCTTATTATGTCAACAACTCTTGCACACAATTTATATCAAACGATGATGACCAATGATTGGCTGGCCAAAAGACATGGTTTAACCGCCTTGAAACTTCCACGTGTCTAATTTAACAACAATCATGAATACTGAAGTAGGTATTGACTAAGTATGGGTAGAATTTATCCTAATTATCTCATCGAATGCATGCAGACAATTTTATCAGATAATTTACTTCCCATGCAGTAAATTTCATCAAAGGTATTTGGGTTACTAGTCTAACAGAATCGACAAACACGCAACTGTCACTTCAAAGCAAATGATGATTATGTATATGTGACTTTTGTATTGTACATCTGCCAGTGTTGTTTTTCATAAGCCAGCTTTTAGACAGAACAACCAATTCAGTGAAAAGTCAGTCAGTAGTCAACAACAAAGTGGAACTTTGTACGTACATCAGTCCAAGTTCCCATACCACGATAGCACAGAGACGTAATTGTCAGTTCAAATCCCACAGTAGTAGAGATAGTAGAAGTATTAGCAGTAATGAGCAAGATTAGGGTTAGACGATATTATTTAAGAAGTAGAATCTAGTAGAATAAACTTAAAAAGATAAAGGTAATGAGGAACTCCGAAGGTTAGGATTTGGTAGAACACAAAGAATGAATGCACCTGCGCCGTTTCATATGGTTTTGAGCCGTGTCATTCAGGGTCTGTAAACATCGGTTACTATCATCTCGCGGACACAACCAGGTAGTCGAAACCTACTAACATGATTCAATCCGCTTGTTATTGACTTTTAGGATTTCTGCTATGTTTTGGTTTGGTCGCCTCTAGCTTTCTTCCAACCTATTCCTAAACCGCAAAATATAACTCGACGAGGCAGAGTCGGTTGTTCAATGCAAAAGATTTGTATTGTCAGTCCAACAACTGATATGAGTTGATGCGCGTTAATAAGACATTTTAAGTTATTGAGAAAGTAAACTATTTATCATCTGAATGAGTTTAGTCAATGCAATTATTGGCTGACTTGATTGATTAAACTGTTATTATGTAGTAGGCAGGAATTTTTAACTTTATGAAATGTATAATATAGATTCATTATTACTATATCATATCATTGATTTTAGCTTTATCCACACTTTTTATTCATTTAAAAAGTATGCTCGTTAATTTTTATAGCTAGCAAAAGTATACAAACAAACAGCTACACCCATAGTGTGACTCATAAAAAGGTATAAAACAGAAAAACTGATTCGATGAATCATTAACTTACAGCCAAATAGGTCGATGAGTTTTTAATCCCACTACTTTGTGTTCCCCGTGTTTGTTTAAAGTCGAATCAATATTTCTGTCGGAAGAAGCTGTAGACAATGACTATAGATTTGAGGAAGAAAAAAAAAAGACAGAGGAAGACAATGATGCAATATAAATTGCTACTCGTGAATTATAGTCATGATCAGATGGATTGAATCATTGTTTTACATGGCTATTGAATCAGCTATATTTTCCAAATGAAGTATTTGACAAACACAAAGTGATATCAAAGTTTAGCAATTCATATGCTGGAGCATATAAATACAAGCCAAATGATAAGTGAAAGATGCTGACGAGGGTACGCACGCTGTTGGTCAAGATATAGCTTGACTTTTTGAGGACTGCAACATTATGAAATGGAAATGTGGCTTTATTTTCTGGGGGATGTATTTGTATTTATGATTTGGTTATCCAATCAAAACATCCTGTCTGGTCTTAGTTTTTTTCTACTCGAGTAACTGGTTTAGTTATGTATACAGAAAATGTATTAGTTGTAGCAGACTCGGGTAACCACAGAGAACAGCAATAGTTTCTGACATCAAACCTACTTTGTTATGAAGCTTTTTAAAATCATTTGATTATTTGAACATGAACTTTTAAAGAACAGAATGTGACTAAATCAGTAAAATGTAATAAGATTATTTATGATTTGACATTAATTTTATAGTCTACAAATGAAAAAAGTTATATATATACATATATATATATATATATATATATATATATATATATATATATATATCATTATGGACTCATGAGTTAAATAACTTATTAAGAAATCGGTCGTAGGAAATTAAGTGATGTACATAACTGGATAAAATGTATATCAGTACATATATATTAATAATTTTAAAGTGAGACAGTGTAGTGCAACAGTAATGAGTTCACTGAGTTATTACTCGAAACAAGAGAAAAAGAATAACTTTATCACTCTTATAAGTGTAAGATGCTATTCAGAGTAAAACAGTAACAGATAAATCGTGTGAGATAACTTACCTGATATCCAATAGAGTCACTTATCTTTTCAGCAAGATCAATCTGTCCAGAATCGATTGCTTGGTTTAAACGCCATTCTAAAGTGCCTTTATGTAGACTGTCAGCATGGATACGACTTGGGTCTTTAGGAGTAGGTGCGTTTAAAACAATTGAAGCAGGGGGACTCTGGGTAAGAAACGGAAGTTTTACAAGTATTTTCAAAAAAATAAACTAGCAATGAATTAAGTATGTGATTTACTTAAAAAAATCTTGGTACAAGGAACTAGATTTAAAACTTATTATTAGAATTCCCCTAACTTATAAAATTCCAGCTACACAGGTTACAAATCTAATATAAAATGTGATCAAAATGAACAGTACACTTAGCGAAATTTTAAGAACAAATCAGTTCAGTTGCGAATGATGCTTCAAAATGCTCTGGCACGATCGAGGGTGGGCGAGTTCATTCTCTATTTAGAAATGATTTCATATGGCAAAGCTCATATAGCTACTGTCAGTCAGATACAACGTAGAACTTCATACGTGCATACATCAATTTAAGTAGCCGTATTGAATCAGCACAGATGCAACTAACAATTCAAATTCCGTGGCAGTGGTGGTAGTAGAAGTATTGACGGTAATGGAGAAGATTAGGGTTCGAAGATATTATTCGGGGAGTATAATTCAGTGAGATAAATTCGAGGAGAGAAAAATAAAAGTAATTAGGGATTCAGAAGAATAACATTTGAGAGAACACAAAAAGTAAATGCACCTGCACCACTGCAAATGATTTTGGGGCATGTCGTCTCTAACTATCAGTTACAACTGTCTCGCAGACACCAACCTGGTAGTCTCTACCTACCAACATGGTTCATTCCACTTGTCATTGACTTCATGGATTTCTGCCATGTTGTGGTTTGATCGCCACTAGCTTTCTTCCCACCTACTTCTATACCACAAAACATTGACCGTCGAGACACTCTGCGTTTGGGCATTCGTTACACATGTCTCAATCACCTCAATTGCCGAATTTTCAGTACTTCATAAATTGATAGTATCCATTTCCTAACATCAGCATTGCTTACTCGATAGTCCCAGGATATATGGACAATGCTTCTGAGACACCTATGACCGGAAACCAGTAACCTACGAATATGCTCAAATCTTAGTGGTCATGTTCACACCCATAAGTAGGCTGGAGTGAACTGTTGTGCAGTGGACTCGTCCTTCGGTCGGCAGACGAATATCTCGTCTACGCCATGAGTGACGCGAGTTGACAAAAGTCAGTAGAGCCTTTTGCATCCGTGCATAGATTTTGTCAGTCACCAGGCTATGAGCACTAATAAGACTTCAATGTTTATGTAGACCAATCTTCACGGTTTTAAATAAAAAATTATAATGAATAAATGCAAAGTGAAGATAGCAAGCTGAAAACTCAAATTCTATATATATGAAACTACAACGAAAAGATTATCGGATTGAGTGAACAGTGAGGTAACCAAATTATTAATTAAAAGCACATATATCGAGAACGATTTAAAAATTGTGACGATTAAATACTATATATTGTAAAGACTATTATGTTGGACTAATGATGATATGTAGTGCATATACGAAAAATGAAAATGCTATCTTGCTGTTGATCTAGGTCAGAATGAACGCGAGTTCATAACTATTTACTGACTGAGCAGTGAAACCGTATAGACTCGAATTTCTTTAAATGTTAACCAAGGAAAAACATAAACAAAGTGACTGTTACATATATTTTGGGACAGAGTTTTGGAGGTTTGCGTTTTTACACATTAGAAATCATCAATCAATCATTGTTAGACCACCATTAGAAACCTCGAAGCACTGGACGGCCGTTTCGTCCTGGTATGGGACTCATCAGCAGTGCGCATCCACGACTCCTGCTCTTCACAGGATTCGAACCCGGTACCTTCGGCATTGTAGGCGAACGCCTTACCATCGGACCACTGAGCCAGCATCCAACGGTGTTAATGTCTAACTCTGATTGATCCAGTGCTTCGAGGTTTCTAATGGTGGTCTAACAATGATTGGTTGATGATTTCTAATGTGTTACATATATGCCAACTGCATTATATTTCAAAAAAGATGACAGCAACATAGAACTTCGTACGTACGTACATTAGTTTAAGTTGCCATACCACGATAGCACAGAGATGCCATTGTCATCCCATAGTAGTAGAGGTAATAGAAGTATTAGCAGTAATCGGAAATTTTAGGGTCCGCCTGTAGACCTTCCGGGGCTAATGCTGGTCCCGAGCCCGGATAAAGGAGGAGGGTTGGGATTGGGGTTGACGACCCCATCCCGCAAAAAACCTAACTCACATTTTATTTAAATTACTTCTATATAAACAACATAATAATATAATTTTGGGGCACAGTTTTGGAGGTTTGCGTTTTTACACATTTGAAATCATCAATCAATCATTGTTAGACCACCATTAGAAACCTCGAAGCACTGGACGGCCGTTTCGTCCTAGTATGGGACTCATCAGCAGTGCGCATCCACGACTCCTGCTCCTCGCAGGATTCGAAACCGGGACTACCAAAGACAAATGGGTGAGGTCGCGCAAAATCCCTAGATCAATCAGAGTTAGACATTAACACCGTCGGATGCCGGCCCAGTGGTCCGATGGTAAGGCGTTCGCCTACAATGCCAAAGACCTCGGGTTCGAATCCTGTGAAGAGCAGGAGTCGTGGATGCGCACTGCTGATGAGTCCCATACCAGGACGAAACGGCCGTCCAGTGCTTTGAGGTTTCTAATGGTGGTCTAACAATGATTGATTGATGATTTCAAATAATATAACTTGAATTCTACGAAAAGTAGTATAGATAAAGCTAATTAGCGATGAAAAAACAGATACATTGGTGGAAGTTGATTTTTAATCTCACTATGGCGATAAAAAATGTCATACCTCTTTATTTGTTGAATTAATTGACTTTATTAATTTTCTTTTCTTCCATGGTCGCAGAGTTATATCTTGTTTACTTACTTCTGATTCAATTGCATGGAGATAAGTGGCGGTTGCCGATGATTCGGGCACAACTGCTAGAACTATAAATGGATAGCTGCAATCAGTATACTGAAAAAAGCTACTCACCATCGTTAATTATTTTCTTTTTCAGTTCAATTTCACGGATGTTCGTTGAACGAGAACACATAAGACGTTTGCGTTCCTGCAAGGAATGTAGTTTCTGCACAAAGTTTAGTTTATTTATTGGCTAAAGATACCTGAGCTAATTCTTCACGCATGATTTATCGTTTGCGAATGTTTTTTTATGAATTGGAAAATGATCTTTTAATATTGTGAACTGCCCAGCAACTAGCCTAAAATTAGAGAGGGAAATGTGATGATAAGTATGAGAATAACTAAGGTTTAATCTGAATACTATCCCCAGTTGGGTTCGAATCCAGTGACTAGAGGATTTTAAGTTTTGCGACTGACACGTCTTAGTTGTTAAAATAATGGGTATAATACTGACTGACAAATGTTATACATTGATGTGTTCAACTAACAACTGTGCAGAAAACCATATTACTGACATGAATACGAAAAAGCTAATTTTAAAAACCCGTTTCCTTTCCAATCAAATGAAAAACTCATGTACACATAGTGCACTAACAAACATGAATGATTGTTACTAAAAATACAAGCATTTATAAGATACGGGTTTTTAAGTTACTTGACTTTTAACGAAACAGAACTTGACTTAACACTAACCAGTTAAATCGTCTTAATAAAATCTAAATTATTTTTACCAGCTCATTGCCATATGCTTTTTTAATTCCTGTAATTTGACTTTCATACTGGTGGCTTTGGCAGAGAAGAGAAATATATAATGTAATTTTGATTAAACTTCAGCTTCTCCCTTGTCATACTGATCTTAGAATCTTTTACGCAGATGGCTCCAAATGCATACAGGTAGCAAGAGTTTTCTCTATCCTGAATTGATCTCATCTGTTAAAGCGCACATAGCAACTGAAAAGGAATTCCCACTCACTGACTTTGCATATATGACGTGTAGTTTACAAAATTCAGGGGACAATAAACGAATATTTGGAGGAAACTCAAACCTAGTTGGTGAACAGAGAGGATTCACATGACTCAAAACCATTGCTTCACATGGGCTTCAGGATGATGGAGGAACCAACAGCGTACGAACCCATTCTCCATTCTTATTCAACTTTATTATTGATCTGCTTTTAGAGACGGCACTTTTATCGACTGACTCTTCAGGAGTTGACCCTCTAGCAGGAAATTTGCTAGTTGACTTAGAATATGCCAATGACAAGGTTCTATTTGGTGAAGACGATGACAAAATGAAAGCATGTTCGGGATGCGACTATTCCCCACAAAATGCAAACTGTTGCTTCAGGATTGGCTTGCGTCGGCACCGAAACTAATGATAGAGAGTGAAGCAGTTGAGCGTGTTGACCACTTCACTTATCTCAGTAGTATCATTAGTGATGATAATCTACCTGGTGACTGATAAAATCTATGGACGGATGCAAAAGGCTCGACTGACTTTTGCCAACTTGCGTCACTCTTGGCAAAGTCGAGACATTCGTCTACTAACCGAAGGACGAGTCTACTGAGCAGCAGTTCGTTGCATCCTACTATATGGGTGTGAAACAACCACCAAGAGTAGATGATATTCGTAGTTTCTTAGTGTAGGTGCCATAAGTGCCCTCAAAGAATTGCTCGAATGTCATGGGACCACCAAGTAAGCAATGCTAGAGTTAGGAAACGGGTACTAGATAAGGTTAGCAGATCAATAGACGAAGTAGTAGATCTTCATCGATTGGAGTGGTTGGACAAGTGTTACGAATGCCTAACCACCTACTGCCTCGAAGAGCTATGTTTTGTGATATAGGAGTGGGATGGAAGAAAGCTAGGGCCGGCCAAAAAAACATAGCACAAATCTATGAAGTCACTGACAAGTGGACTGAGTCATGTTGGTAGATGTAGGCTACCTGCTTGGAGTCCGCGAAACGAAAGTTACTGATGGTTAGAGACCCTGAATGACATGGCTCAAAATCGTTTGCAATGGCGCAGATGCATCCACTCTTTGTGTTCTCTTAAATCCGAACTTTCTGAACTACTCATCACTTTTACTTTCCTCTTCTCAAATTTATTTCACTGGATTATACTCCCTGAATAATATCTTCGAACCCTAATCTTCATTATTGTCAATACTTCTACTACCACTACTGCTACGGAATTTGAACTGTTAATTGCGTCTGTGATTATGTGATATGGCAACTTAAGTTGGTGTATGTACGTACGATCCTATTATTGGTCAATGGATACTGAAGGATCGCAACTTCTAACACTGATTCATGCCTTGTGGATTTGAGCTCTCTGTCAAAACATTTAGGCGTACTACAATAGTTGTTTTTCTGGACCTAAAGGCGGCATTTGACTCTGTAGATCGTGAGGTTCTCTGGCAGTCTCTCATTGAAAGTTGTACCAAACAAGTACATGAACCTTATATAAGCTCTCTACTCGAACACGACTGGTCAAGTGAGAGCTTATGGCGAACTGTCACCGGAATTCTTTACTTCAAGTGGTGTCCGTCAGGGATGTCCACTTTCTCCATTCTTGTTTAATTTTATCATAGACATGCTACTAGAAATAACCTTATCCTCGTCTGAATTTTCAGTAGAACTTTTACCAGGAGGCTCGCTTATCGACTTAGAATACGCCAATGGCATAGTCCTACTTGGTGAAGACGCTGACAAAATGCAGAGTCTTCTGACCACCCTAAGCAACAATGCAAGCATGTTCGGAATGCAGTATTCCCCCTCGAAATGCAAAATGTTGCTTAGTGATAGGGAGTGAAGTAGTCGAAGGTGTAGACCGCTTCACTTATCTGGGGAGTCTCATCAGTGCTGATGGCCTAGTGACTGACGAAATCTCAGCTCGGATACAGAAGGCTCTATTGGCTTTTGCCAACTTGCGTCACTTATGGCGCAGGCGAGATATCCGCTTGTTAACCGAAGGACGAGTGTACTGCACAGCATTTCGCCCTGTCCGTTACGAGTAGAGGATATTCGTAGATTATTAGTCTTCAATCATAGGTGTATCCAAAGCATTGCTCGTTTATCCTGGGAGGACCTGGTAAGCAATGCTATCGTTAGGAAACGAGTTCTAGGTAAGGATGGCAAATCAATAGATGAATTATTTAAACTTTATCAGTTAAGGTGGTTGGGACATGTGTTACGAATGCCTAACCACTGGCTGCCGCGACGAGCTTTGTTTTGTGGTGTAGGAGTAGTTTGGAAGAAAGTTAGGGGCGGCCAGACCAAAACATGGCAGAAATCCATGAAGTCATTGACAAGTGAACTGATTCATGTTGGTAGATGTAGGCTATCTTGTTGGGGTCCGTGAGACAAAAGTTACCAATGGTCAGAGACCTTGAACGACATGGCTCAGAATCGTTCATTGTGTTCTTTTAAATTCTAACCTTCTGAATTCCTCATCATCTCTATCTTTCTCCTTCTAAATTTATCTCACTGAACTATACTTTTCGAATCATATCTTTGCTCCGTCTCTGTGCTGATATGGTATGGCAACCTAAACTGATGTACTTATGTACGAAGTTCTGCATTGTATCTGTCTGTCTGTCAGTTTCAGAGAGTGGCCGTCTAAGTAGACCGCCGGCTTTGTTCTGGGACGCGTAGTAACCCAGCTTATGTGTGTGTGTGGCGCACATATATTTAGGTGTTGCTTTGTACTAATGTTTGTGTGCTTAAATATACAAACGAAAAACGAACTTGTATTTGCACTCCTTTAGGTGGATGAACTTGTCATTGTTAACTCCAAATGGTGAACAATATAACTATAAATATAAGATGTTTAATTACAGGAGATTTCATTTCTTAGAATAGAATTGCTATCACATTATATTAAAGGTGAAATGCGATTATATCGAGAAAGATTATTTCAGACTGTAATAAAATCATTATGTGCTACAGCAGCCAAGTTAAAATAAATTTGGAGCGTGGTGTATAGTGTTGTCCCATAATGAGGAAGGGCTTGTTATAGCGATCGCACCAAATTCGAGGGTCCTGAGACGTACATTTTATGAAACTACCACTATTCTTCATCGGCCTCACTATACAGTATGAAAGTAATATTATTTAGGTACACAATATTATATTGATTCCTGACATATTTTCAAAATAAAACCACTGCAAGTGTTGCTCCTGGGGCGTATACCAAAATTGTAATTGGTGAGTTTAAGCCTGAAAGATTCAGAGTAAACCACCATTTGTCAAATCTGGAAAACTGCTTAATTCCAGGTCATCCGTAACCTGAATGCTGTTTTTTGATGAAGAAATTACTGTACTATTCTATCAAAGGAAAAGCAACTGCTTCCGAATATTAAAGACGGCTTTATGGGGGATGAAAGAAGTCGAGTTTATTGTAAAAAAAATTATAATAAAGATATATTATGGCGAGTTTGAGGCCTAGTTTTTCGTCGTATTTAACAAGCTATGTTTTTCAGCCAATAAAATGTAGCACGAGTATATTTAGGTGTATTAAGCATATATGGTTTTGCAGACAATTACTCCATAGAGCCATTATAAGAAAATTAGTGTTGGTTGAATTCTGAGTCTTTCCAAACAATATTAGATGGTGATGACTAACCCATATAAATGCAGACACTGAACTATTAGCGGTTCGACAGATAATCCTGAATGGACTGATTTAATTGAACGCACCTAATCTGATGGTTAAGACGAAATGTATACGAATGTGCTAAAACAGCTACCACACACTTGGGCACCTTAAGAATTCTGATTTCTAAATAAAAGTAAAGTATATGGGCGAAATCGAACGACTTTATAGTCAATTGTGAATATACATTTCTCATCGAAACACGTGCTTGATCGAGACGTATTATAATTAAGTAAGGATGCTATGAATGATGGGCAGTTTTAACATGAATAATGAACTTTTAAACGTGAAGTTCATGGTGATTATCGAGAACCAGCACTAAGTTTAACGCGTGTTATAGTCTTAATACGCTCCTCCAAGTAACTTGCACAGGCTAGAAGGGCGAACTAAGAGCAGAAATCTGATTAGTCTGTCCCTATCCCACAAATCTACTCATCTTTAGTAAAAAGTATTATAACAAATATCAAGTAATTTATGATCAATCCAAAACACTACAGGTTGCTCACTCTCATTTTAACGGAATTTCATTGGCTTAACGACCTTGTTTGCAACCGGCTAATAATCTGAA